TATCTCCATCTGATGCTTTGAAGCAATTCCCACACAGCACTATGGGTTCACTCATCACAAGCCTTCATAGAACTTGAGGCAATTAAAGTCCTTTATTAATAAAGTTATGCTTCACTTTACCCTTATATTACCTAAACCGTGGCAGCTCTCAGCATTTGCTTTTACTATGTGTACTTTTGGACACAAGCAAAGACAAACAGTTTAAGGTTTAGAAAGACAATAAATAAAATAACAATTAATTTTTGGATTAATGCTTCAGAGGAAGGAAGGACTAACTATATATGGAAAATTCAGCTCTCTGTCCATCTGTTCTTATCTAAAAATGTATATTTTATGTGCATGGGTACATATATGGACACATATGCACTTGTGTGCATATTCACACATAGAGGAATAAAAGCATTTCAAATAAGTACTTCCAATTAATTGAAATATATCTAGTGTGATGAGAATTTTACATAATAACTACTAATTATTAATTGATGAACTTAGGTTTCTGTTAGATTATTATATCAATACTTTGAACAGGAGTCTTTTAATACAGTTGATCACACAAAATAATTTAAAATCTTTTTAAGATTCCTAAAGTAAAATTGTCACTTCATTATTACAACAGAAGGACCATCAGTCAGTACCTTTAGGTTAAAAACTTAACTTTAATATTAATTTTGAGTTTTGGAGCATTTGTCAATATGATCTGAATTTCTGTTGGTGCAGATTTTAATACTTTTTTTTAAAAAAAAAAATGCAGAATTCATAATAGTATCCATTATTTCCTTCTCCATACCTTGCTAGGTCATTATTTGAAATATCTGTGGTATATGATCTGCAGAGAACTAGCAAGTTAGGTGCCTTTATTTTGTTGATGAACAGCAGAGGAGATTCACAAAATACTTTAATGTGCATTACCTAGGAAAAAACAGGTTATGCTAGAGATACTTGTTATGTGAAGTGTATTTTAATTGTTACACTCAAATAGAATAACGAAAAATTTGTAGTCTTTAGTTTTTATTGATAATGGCTAATAAGAAAAAAGATCATGACTGTTGGGTAAGACCATAAACATTATTTTGAGAATGGTTTTAAAACATGCATTCAAATCATATTTGTAGGATTTTGATTACAATGTCAGAACTATGATTAGTGTTGAAATATATTTAAAATGAAGAATGATTATTTTGTTAACTAAAGTTTGCACTGATTATTGTCACTGATTTTGAAGTAAGCATAATAGCAGGTCATGACCCAAATCCAAATCCAAACCCTACAGTTCAGGCCAAATACTATTGATGTTTTTCATAAGCTCTTTGATGGAGGAATAGATTTTACTGAAGTAAAACAAGCAGTTTTAGCCTTTTCATTGAAATGGCAATATATTTATCTTACTATGGGGCACTTGAATTTTGCTAATACTTGATTATAAAAGCTGATCAAAAGGTTTGTCTATCACAGGCATAGCCACCTAGTCTGTGTCTAAACACAGTCATGATGGATATCAATAATTCTCAGGAATTTATAACCTGTTAAAGTGATCTAATTAACAAGTGTCCAGGAGTCCTAAAGTTCTATTTTGAGCATTCTGACAAATGAAGACAAGTCAAATACAATAATCTGCTCCATTAAGAAAACGGGCACTTTACAATGAAGTATTATTATTTACGACTGAGATTCAAAAAGGACATAGCTCATCTCATCAAGCATGATCCTGAAAAAAATGTTTAAGACAGCGTGCAGTTCCAAATCTAGAAACTATGTATTGCATCATAGGCATTTCTTGGCCTTTCAACAACAAACAAAAACAGGTGATTAAATTGTTTTTATTTAATTACATTTAACTGTTTAATGGACTTTCACTGACAAGTCATTACCCACAAAAATTATGTTCATGACACTGATTTTTGCGTGCTTGATAACACTAGAAAGTTACCCTGGATTGAAGCAGACTATTAATTATGACAGCTGGTTTTAAGCAACACTACCTGCGACCCTGTCTGTTCCAGCAGTGTCACATTACAAGGCCAATAAACCACTTCCAGCTATTTCTGAGTAACTCCATCAGTAAACAAGCCCTTTTAGCCCATCTTCTACTTTGGCAGATTGTCCAAGATACAAATTCGGTTAAGAAAAACAAAATGTTCCTTTTGAAAGTTAAAAAAGCCACAGCCAACAAACACAATGTAACTGTAAACAACTCCCTAGTTTCTTGTCTCTGTCTGTCTCCTCCTGCCACCCTAAACAAACAGAACCAGCTTGCAAGCTGCTGACCAGTAATGAGAAGCACTCCACATCCATCACACCCACTGCCTCCAGGGGAGGCAAGAGCTCACAGGTTTTTGCAAGACCGTGTTCAAACTGTGGATATAAAACTCAGGAAGTCAGAGGAAGGCAACAAAGTATATAATGAGTATTTATCATTCCCGATGCAGCTCCCGGTTCCTACCCTGCCAAAGTAGGCTGAAAGAACACTAAAACAGAGGTTCACGTAAGCACCTGGGTGAAGATTGTTGCCCAGAAGGGAAACAGTCAAAGACAGTGCATTTATAGGAACACCTTATGACCATGTAACACAGCTGCTTGTGGGAAAGTTTGTTGCTGGAAGGAGTATTGTGTTATTACTCCCCCAGGAACCAGGGCTGTTACTGCATCACTGACCTGCTTCACTACACCATGTGTACTCTCATGGTGCCCCTCAGCATTAAATTACCAACTCTGAATGTTACCCAATCAATTTATTTATACAAATTACTTTAAATAAGGCTACTCTTATCATGTGGGGAGGCTTCTTTAAGTGGACTCATATGACATTTCTTGTTGCATTCTACAGTGCTGCTGTTGTACATTTTCCTCCTCTAACATAAAACATATCATGATATCCACACTATACATGCATATCAAAATGTCCACTGTTTCCAAGTAGATTGCACCTTCTGAAACTCAGGTACAAAATTAAGTAAAAACAGAGAGGGAATAAATATTGTAAAGAACACTAAGAAAAAAAAAAGAAAAAACCACTATGACTCTAATTAGTGTACAGCAAGAATTTACTGCCCATTTTCCATTTAATTTAACTATTTATATAACAGTCCTAACTCTATAGCTTAGGATGAAGGACACATAAGTAGAAGAGGAAGAGAGGCAGTATATTAGAGCCTTTCTTTAAGTTCTGAGGGAGATTGTTTATCATATAGATATATTTACCTTTATGAAGTAAGCATGTTCAAAATTACTGAACTTGAATACATGAAGTAGGATATTCAGATTCTGTAGCTTCAGTGGCTTAACAAATTTCCAAGAACTTATCCAAGGAAAACCTTGTCATTGGTCTTTTCTGGCTTAGGAGAGAGACAGAACTAAGATGTCATTGCCTTGTTCAAGCCAGATGAATTGAGATAAACAGCACAACTGAAAGGGGTTATGGTAGGCAGAATTTCAAAATAAGACTGAGGAAACATAACAGAAACTGAAAACTCGGGACCTCGGTGTCTATTCTTTTGAGAGAAAAGATCGAGTTTTAAACATAAAACTTTGATTTAAAAGTAGTTTTACAATACGTGCCATTAAGACAACTATTTTCATAACTATTTTTGTATTTTAATAGAAAAAGGTTGCTGCTGAGTCAGGTTTTATTTCATATATTTAAACATAGCCCTGTGGTATTTTGCAACTAGAAACACTGCAGTCATATCAGTGCACAAGGAAGAACTAGAAAATGCAGCCTATTTGAAAAAAAAAACAAAACAAAAACCCAAAAAAACGAAAAGCAACTGAAACGCATTCATTCGGTAAACAGCAAAGTGAACACCAAGCAAACAAACAGCATCAATGGTGAAAATAGACAAAAATATTAAATATCAAATTGGCTTATGTTTTAGCCGTCTGAGGTATCATAAGCAACACAGATAAATGGGGTTTTTTAAGAATATATTACTTTAATTGACTTTGTCCCTTTAATGATAAATTTACAATGAAGATGACATGTCCACCATCATTCTGAAATACAACATTGCTACCACCCACTTGCTGCAAATACCTTTGCATTATATTTGTTTGTGGCAGAGGAGTAAACTTGACAAAAATAAATTCTTATACACATCCACCCTTGTGGGATTAATAGCAAGATGAAATACTTTTAATAAAATAAATTAAGTTAAAAGTCATATAAAATAATATAAACACCCCTCCTTGGTCTCCTCAAGCAAGATTTTCCTCAGCATGCTGTCTAATACATCGAGCTTCATTAAAAAAAAAGTTAAGAAACAAGAACTATTAATTGAGAATGAGGCAAAAGAATCCAATTGACACTGGCCTGATACTTTACCTCTTGTCAATTGGGGTAATAACTTTTTCTAACCTCCAACAGAGATGTCAGTCCAACCCCAGAACTCTAAGGCCATTTGTACGGGGATGAAAATGCACAGCTAATAAATGCATGGCATCTGTGCAACTCCTGGTTCCTGATCCTCTGAGGCTCCTCTCCAAGGGCTGTAAAAGATGCTAGTGGCAACTCCTCTGATACTTGCCACAGACAGGGCAGGTGGAGATGGTTTCATTTAATTTAGAAGAGGAAGAGTTTGCTCTGCCATCTCTCTGTGCTCCCACAACACGTACTCAAGCATTAGTGGACAAACACATCAAATAAATATCAGATAAAAACACCCAAAATACGCTTGGTAATGCAAAGAAAGGATATATTTTAAGGTATGGTCAAGAGAAGATATTCAAAGCCTCCATTGTTGCTTCTAGAAATGTCAAGACAATTCAGAAATGTCAGTTCCTTTATTGGTTTCCAGATTGTAACTGAAGGATCATGTAGCTCTCTCGCTGTTTCTCTCTCTTTTTCTCTCTCTAAATAGGTCTATAAAGATCAGCTGGAAAGTGCAGACAGAATTGTTCACTGGTTAGCTTTACTTAGAGCTACAGGGTATATATGTGCTTTGTTTTGTCTTATTGATCAATCTAGCTTACATTTTTAGCACACACAAACAAAAATCAGGAAAAAGAAAAAGTCGATGAAAAAAACACGAACAACACAAAACAAATAAGGTTCCAATCGTGCAAATTTTGCTTAACTGGATAAAGCACTTCTTGACACAGTAATGTCCAGAATTCCCCTCCCCCAGAAAAATACAGGACTGAGACTGAAGCCGTTCTTTTTTTTTCTTTTTTCCTTTTTTTTTCTTTTTTTTTTCTTTTTTTCCTTAAGGCTATACAACACAAAGAAATAAAGCATGAAAAGAACACCTCATTGGGCTGAACACTTCATTCTTCTGGCTCTGGAGCGAGCCTTTGACAAAGCGATTGTGTGGTCCGAGTTATTTGTCTCATTGGGGCAACAACAAGAGAAAGAAAAAGAGAAAAAATGAAACAGAGGGAAAAAAAAAAAAAATAAGAAAGTCAACGATCCCAACAATAAAATCCAAAATTGACTTTACAATCACAGGTACAAATTGCTCAGGTCGATAATTTCATTTCTCCTAAAGATCACTGTCGTCTAAAACTAATTAGAGGCGCAGGTTCCCAAGGAATTGTCAATATTCAAAGCAAATGTTGGAGTTTAGAAGGTTATCATTCTTCTACCGTGACAGTCTGACGGGGTGAGTGGAAATACTGTCATGTGCTGCCAAGTTCAGTGACGTTAATGATTGAATCCTTGCTCCAGCTCACGGATCGGTCTCCTATTTGGCCTTCTTTTATAGTGGAAATACTAAGAAGCCAGAAAAGGTTGAATATTTCCACCCTCCCATGAGGTTACCCCTTTCCAGTTTGAGATGTACTTTGTCTTCTCTTTCCATGTGGAGCAAGACTCCATTGCTGGCTGCTTCTCTGGTGACGTCCTGATCCCCTGCAAAAGCTGAAATCACTGGGTAGCCGTTTTGCATTAAACTTACCTAAAAAGCGCAAAGAGAGAGAATCTGAGTTTTCTCAATACTCTCAATGTTTTTTTGCCCTGTGCACATCACTAAACTTTTGTGCAGGTCAGAAACAGGATTGAATTAAGCTAAGGCAATGTGTGATTTCTGTCATGCACACAGACCCATCTAACTAAAGTAACCTATGATCTCATTCTTCACTTGCTGGTTTTGTAAATGCACTTTTGTGTCTAGAAATGAGCTTTTGAAAGAAAAGGGAAGATACCATCTTCTTTAGATCACAACCCACCTGGATAGTTTGTCTGTTATAGACCTTGACCACGTGGAAACTGAAACTATATATCCCTTTTCTTGGTGCTACAAATATACTGGAAGCAAGGTCAAAATGGTTGCCAATATTAACTAATACCTGGAAAATAAGCAAACAAAAAAAAAAAAAAGAGAGATAGAGAAAGACATAAATCAGACCCCACCTTAGAAAAGCGCCAGTGAAAATCTGACATGAGCTTGTGACCAGTATAAAGTCTAGTTGAAATGGCATTTGTAGCAAAATTAAAAGTGCTCTGCAGGGGAAAGGAGTCAAGTTACAGAGGCATTTAAAAAGCATCACAGTTAATAAAACGATTTAGTTATGTGAAAATGATCTCCGAATCCTGTTAGATGATGTGCAAATGTCCACACTGCACTGCCAATAAAGCAAAGGTGGCAGAAGCCAAAGAGGGGCAAGCAGGAGATGGAGGGAAAGAAAGGAGGGAGTGGAAAGAAGCAAAGAAGAAAAGCCCCAAAACTCACTAACTCATAATGCAAATATGTGATTTGTAGCCAACATTACTGAAATCAGACCTGCCATCGAGTTTAATAAGATATAGAATAAAAATTGCACAGCAGAGAGGGGTGAAGGAGGAGAGAGGATGCCCAGCAACAGCAACCCCTGCCAGCTCAAGCCTGAGTACCTCTGGAGGACTCCCGCACCCTCCTCTGGGGGCTGGGGTGGGCCTGCTCCTCCTCACCGACAACAATCTAAATTTGTCATATATTTTAATGTCTCTTGAAATAAACTAGGAAGAGAAAGAATTGAGCCCTCTGGCAGATATGCAAAACCTCACTCGGCAGTGGCAGTCACATCCTAACCCAGCAGAGGCTGGAGGTGCCGGGTCCAC